CAGGTCATTAGGATAATCTGCCAGGGATAAAAACAGAGGAAGTGTGCTGTTGGAAAAACATGGTGGAGAAATTCATTGGTCATTTATTCTGTTTTCGTTTTGATATTTCTATTCTTATAAAAGTCTATATTTCAGCTACTTTTAAAATTTGTAGTGAACAAAACTTACAAATTACTTTGTAAATGCTAAAAATTTATAAAAACCTTCTCTCAATCTGGAAGTTAAAGCATCACTAGGGGTCAAAAGAAGTATCAAAATATGGCTCTATAATTTAGATACTTTCATTCATTTACATAAGTGCACATTTAATGTATGTTTTCTTCATGGTGACAACTGATTTTGGAAGTGAACTAACTATCTGAGTTTGAATAAAGACATTAGAGAAATATGTTATTTTGAGAAATTTATAGATTTATTTTGTTAAAACATGTTTGCCATTTTCAGGCAAATGTGTGAGGTAGAAAATGGAAGCCTTTTTTCAAAAATTTGTTCTTTGTTACAGAGCTATAATAGTTGAATATGTCAGCCTTAGTAAAGTAATGAATTGAAATAACTTTTATTTATATATACCACATCACTACAGGAAATCTCAGGAAAAGTGAGGCAAATGCCAGATGGAAAATTACAATCAGACCTCTACAGAATTCATCCTCCTCGGCCTGTTCCCCCCGTCAAAGCTTGGCCTTTTCCTCTTCACTCTCATCATCCCCATCTTCCTGATGGCCCTGACTGGCAACCTGTGCATGGTCCTGCTCATCCTCTTGAATGCTCACCTCCACACACCCATGTACTTCCTGCTCAGCCAGCTCTCCCTTGTGGACCTCATTTACATCTGCACCACTGTGCCCAAGATGGCTTCTAGTTTCCTATTTGGTAACAAGTCCATCTCCTTCACTGGGTGTGGCATTCAGTGTTTCTTTTTTGTGACCTTAGCAGGTTCAGAAGGACTGATCCTGATGTCTATGTCCTATGACCGTTACATGGCTATTTGCTTCCCTCTGCACTACCCCAGTCACATGAACAGAAGAGTGTGTGTGCTGATGATCCTGGGATCCTGGGCAATGGGTGTTGTCAACTCCTGTGCTCACACATTCTACATCCTCCATATCCCTTACTGCAGGTCCAGGACCATCAATCATTTCTTCTGCAATGTTCCAGCCATGCTGACTCTGGCCTGTGGGGACACCCGGGTCTATGAGTACACTGTGTTCCTCAGCACTTTTGTCTTTCTCCTGTTCCCTTTCATGGTCATCCTGGGTTCCTATGGGAAGGTTCTCCTTGCTGTGTACCACATGCGCTCACAGGAAGGTAGGAAGAAGGCCTATTCCACCTGCAGTGCCCACCTCACTGTGGTGACTTTGTTCTATGCACCTTTTGTTTTCACTTATCTCTGCCCAAAGTCCTTCCAGTGTCCAGTAGAGGACAAGGTGGTGGCTGTCTTCTACACCATCCTCACCCCAATGCTCAACCCTGTGATCTACAGCCTGAGGAACAAGGAAGTGCTGGGGGCCCTGAAAAGAGGGGCTGGAAAGTTCTTCTCTACAAGAATGTAGGTAAATTTCTGCCTCAGTGTATTCACCAGTGGATAGCCACTAGAAAAAATATTTAGTGCTGAGGCCTCAGAAACTAGAATTCATATTTCAGATTTAAAAATTTTGAAGCATGACATGATAAAAATTATGTGCTCTTTTATATAAATTTTCACTTTCTTCATCTCACCTTTCCAATAAAACTATTGAACCTGAAGTTTTCATCATTTTGTGGACAATATTGTATAATTTTGGAGATATTGAAATGGAAAATGCAGAAAACTTTGCAATCTTTTTAAATGTGTTGTGTGATCAAAACTTTTGTTGAATATTTTAATGTTTGAAAATTACAGCAAAAAGCACATTGGTGTGAATCTCCCTCAAAATACTCACACTCCTTTGAATACACTTATCCCATTGTCCTTGTTACTTTTTTTATTCTGACCTCTCAAAATTTATGTGATTGGATAAATCATGATATTGAGTTTTATGGTGTGTAGTAGGAATATATAATGGAAAGCTACCTGAGTTCACATCTTCACCTACAGGCTGATTACTACTGTATATCTGGAACTCACACTGACACAGTGTGAGGGCACCAGAGGACAAAAACTTCCTCTACCTCATGATCACTGCTAACTCCCATCACCTGCTGACCAGCTGAATCTGTGTTCTCAACACATCGCAACTCTAACTAATGATTTCTATCAGCATATAAGATTCCCACCTAAAATGCTGTGCACTTTGAGTGACATTGGATAAAAATGAAACACAACACATGAAAAAATAGAATATTATGTGTCAACTCCTGATTTTCAATGAAATGAGCTCATACATGGATACCCATTCATTAATCACAGAAATCCATCCATTTTCTATTCAATCTGTGTAGAAATGGTTTATCCTTATTTCACATGTCCTCCACAGTGTTTTGACACAAGGTGTCACTGTTTTGCCAAGGGTAGCCTTTAGCTCTGGGGCTCAAGTACTCCTCCTGCCTCAGCCTCCTGAGGGTCTAACCCCTAGGCATGTGTGACTGAAGTATAGAAACATTTTTCCCCCAAATCTTCTCTTTGGGACCCAGAATGGGCTTCCTTTAAAAGTGAGTGAGTATGACTGTTCCTCTAAAGAGCTGTGTGCTATAGTGAATAATTCCTGTGGGCTAAAGGGAGACATACAGAGATGAGTAAGAGCAATAGCTACATTTTACTCAAGTTTGACTCCTGATTTCTTTTAGTTCAAGCCCACTGCCCTGGGTCTCCTGGGATAAGTGGGGTTCAGGGGCACCCTGGTCCTCCTGTGTCCTGGCTGCCCTGTGTTACCCACACAAAGCCTAAGCTCCCTGCTGAAACTGCTGCCCTGGTGAGACCGAGGCCTGTGCCCCACATGGGTAGCTCCAGCTGTGTTTCTCCTCAAGTCCCAGGACCTGGCCCAGGTAGCTGGAGATGCCCCTGAGAAAGCCCCAGGTCATGGAAGCCTCCTCAGACCCAGAATCCAGATCCAAAAAGGTTTCTCAGCTCCTCCTCCTCACAGTTCAGTCCTCAGGGTCTGGAGGGCCAGACAGGCCCGGGTGTAATATCCAGGGCAATTTGCTGAGGGTGACAGGGAGGCACTTCAGCTTACAGAGACAAGAGCAGTCAATCTGTGAATTTTCATTTCAGGAATTGTTTCTGTCTGAATATTAACAATTCAAATATTGTTAAATCCTTACACAAAAAATTGGTGCAACGTTATTCATTTCTGAAGGAAGTGCATAAATTATTTCTTAGAAATGAGAAATCTGTGTACATGATTTTCTATTTGTAACAAAAATTAGTTACAGAATATTTTGTGAATAATTCCCTACAACATCAATACTTTTATCAATTTAAATACCTATTTTAATAATGATAAAATTGTTTCAAAATACAGTGGACTTTCTAAAACCATAATTGGAACCTTTAGAATGTGATATTCTAAGATTTTCTACTTACATACTCTTATTAAATTTCATTTTCATTTTCATGCACTTTCTTCCACAACAAAGTAAGAAATAATCAAATGTGCAGGCACATCATACCCACTCATCCACTGAGCTACAGCATTGACCCAGAAGGGGTCATGGCATACCAGAGGAGGAGAGCCTGGAAAGGTACCCATGCACCTGCCTGGTCCTCCCCATGGCAGTCTGGAGAGATCTCAGTGCCCTGCAGTACTCCATCCTCACCTTGGCCTCAGGCCAGGCTGTGTCCCCCCTACAATCGGTCTCAGTGGACATTCCTCATGGACATTGCAGTCCTTAGACTCACTCCAAAGCTACAGGAGGACAGAGTCCTGGTTGTTGCTCAGTTTAGTGGAGGTCTTTGAAATCCTAGGAGGGGAGTGAGAGGTTTATATGTACATTTGTCAGGACAGAATTCAAAAGGTCCACTCAGTAACATGACTGTGTTCTCCTGTGACTGTGGGCTCATTGTCAACTGAGTGGATCAGGAGATCTGGGAGAGGTGGTCAGGGCATGGGGTGAGAGAATGCAGGGTGAACTGGCCTACTGATGTCCAGTTGAATCCTGTGGAATTGAGGTTCAGGTGGAGATGGCATTGATGGAGCTTATGTCTCTTGCAGATGCTCCTTCCAACCCACTCAGCTTCCTGGCCATCTTGACCTGAGCAGCTCTGTTTCTTCTGGCCCCTCCTCTATGAACTTCCTGAGTTGAAGCTGGCCACCCATCAAATGCAGTCATGAACTAAACTAAACCTCTCTTCTCTATGATGTGGGTGTCCATTTCATTGTCCAGCAAGTTGAAAGCAGATCAGTGCAACACTAACAGAGGAAGTGAGTGGTTCAAAGTGGGGAAGAACTTTGGTACAAATTCCAATTTTACTTTTATATGTTTAATGGAAGGAGAAATTCTGTCATGTGCTTGAGAGAACTTAGCTTCAGAGTCAGGTTGGTAGTTGAGTTTGAGGACCAGCCCTTGTGCAACAGAAATCCTAGGTTATGAGGTGCAGACACCAGAAGCTAAATCAGCTCCTCCTGGGCCTGTTCTCTGGATGGGGTGACAGTGGCATCAGAAAGGCATGAGAGCTCATCCTTCTGGACTCACTGTCCCTGGGCTCAAGTGACAACTGAAGAACAAATTCAGCATTTAGTGTCCAATTCACATCAAGGAGAGTAGAGAGCACATTTCTTTGTCCTTGGATATTGCTTTGCTTTATCTATGCTTGTTTTCTTTGTTTTTCTATGAGTGATGAGATTATCTGAGCTTTTGTTATTTCATTACTGTCTCTACCTTTCTATTTTACCTTCCATGAATCCATTATATTGGGGTCAAGTACCTGGATATTAAAAATATTATTTCACTGTGAAAATATATACTAGACCATATGGCAAAAGAAAAATAGTACTAGATAAATTACCAAAATGTAAATATACCTTAGATTTCAAAATTTTAAAAAGCATTTTGGAAGTGATGCTGGCAATGTGTGCATAGTAGCTGTGTTATACTTTTCCAGAGTTTGTATTCAAAATCAATTTGTGCCAAATTATAGTGCTCATACTTTTAATTGACTTCTCTCACATATAATTTTCTTCATGTACAGAACACACAGTTTCAGAAAACTAATATTAATAATATCTGCCTTAGGGACCAGAAAAAGCTTTTTATAGAACCAAATGAGCATGGTTCACAGAGAAAATCTGAGATCTGTGTCACTGTGTTGTGATAGTTGAAAACAACCATGTTACATGGATGCTGATAATTTGGTGATGGCAATGACAGCATTAGTGGTGGAGACTAAACCCACGCCACTGTCCTATGCTGTCCTAGGCCCAGTCACACCATGAGTGTGCACAGTGTGTGTTCCCATGGGCAGCCTGTAAGCCACCATGTTTGTGTCTCTGCCCACTCAGAGAGACCTGAGCAGCCTGAGGTTACCTTTCTAAAGGTCAAGACTTGGATTAGATGCAGATTTAAAGCTCATCTTTCTGCCATGAACATGTACAATAAAGCAGAAGTCATTCTCAGTCCAGAACAAAATTCAGAGGATGTATTAATGCAGTCAATTTCTGTGTATCAAAAATATCTTTCCACCTATTTCCATCTTTGTTCTTTAAAAACTAATGTATCCTTGTGAAACTTCCTGGAAGTATATAATTTAGAAATGTCCAAGTATATACAAAAAATAATTGCTGGGTATTGTAATCTTAATAGGATAAAAATAGTTCTTTATCCCATTCTAGACAATTGAAAACAAGGGATTGCAAATGTCAAATAAGATCAGTTAATATTAGTCAGTAAAATGACATAGAACACTGTGCACTCACCATGCCTTTTCCAGTGCAATCTGGCAGGAAACTGCAGAGAAGGGGAATCACACTGGGTTTGCACATACACTGTGGGAATGTTCCTTCCTGACTTCTGAGATTCTACAACAGTCATTTTACAGTGTGATGAATTCTAGTTCACCAAGGAGAGCATAGAATATGTCTCAGTATAGGTAGGGAGACTCAGGCAAGACCGGCATTGTACACAGCGCTGTGGCTGGCTTTCCCGAGTCAGAAACTTAAAGGTTCTCCCCACCTCTGACCCAATCCACAGGTTGACCTGTAAACTAGGAGAGTCTGGAATCCTGAGAATAGAAAAGTGATTCAGATTTCTTCAAAACGTAGTAGATGGTGTCATGGATGTGAGAAATATGTATTTATTTGATTAATATTTAAATCTTTGCCAGTTTGTTTCATTTAGAGGCCTTAAATTTCAATGTGGGCTTTCTTAGAAAATTCTCCGCAATGTGAAATTAAGGAAACATATGTTTTGATAAATTCAGAGTCTTGCTCCACCTCTATAAATAATCAGAACAAATACAAAGAAAACAGCATTACTGTGTAAAGTTCTGTGTCTGTGAATCCTCTGGTCAATGCGGAGCAGAGTGGGGGAGCCTGTGCTTCAGTGGAAACTGCAAGGTCCTGACTCTGGGGGGAACCTTTCCTTGGTTCCCAGCTCTATCATTTTGTCACTTTGTGGGCATCAGTGATTCAGCTCTCTG